CAAACCCCCACTTAAAGTAGGTCCAGCTGCAGCAGGTTACTTAGGGGTCTGTTCACCGAAGTTCTGACTATCTGCAAGTATAGAGACTCCATGGCCTCTCTGGACAACCTGTTTTAGTGTTTGATGACCCTTGAGTTGAGCCACAAAGTTTCCTATGTTCCTATATTTGTCCTTTGCCTCTCATCCTTTCACTGTGCATCACTGAGAAGAGCCTGGCATCATCTTCTCTATGTACTAGGTAAACACTTGTTAATCTGGTCCAGAATGAAGTTGACCTTCTTCGCTGCAAGAGAACACTGCTGATTGATTCATAATCAGCATCAGGACCCCTAGGTATCTTTCTGCAAAGCTGCTTTCTAGCCAGTTTAGCACCAGCCTGTTCTGTTGCACAGGATTACCCCATTTCAGATGCAGGACTTTGCATTTGTCCTTGCTGAACTTCATGAGGTTCCTATCAGCCCATTTTTCCTGCTTGCAGCATCTTAGATCTTCTTATAGAATCGTTCAGGTTGGAAAAGACCTTTAAGATCATCAAATCCAACAATTAACCTAGCATTGCCAAGTCCACCACTAAACCATGGCCCTAAGCACCACATCTACATGTTTTTAAATACCTCCAGGGATGGAGACTCAACCACTTCCCTGGGCAGCCTGTTCCAGTGCCTGACTACCCTTTCAGTGAAGAAATTTTTCCTGATATCCGATCTAAATCTCCCCTGGCGCAACTTGAGGCCGTTTCCTCTCATCCTATCGCTTATTATTTGGGAGAAGAGACCAACCCCCACCTCGCTACAACCTCCTTTCAGGTAGTTGTAGAGAGCAATAAGGTCTCCCCTTAGCCTCCTCTTCTCCAGGCTAAACAACCCCAGCTCCCTCAGCCGCTCCTCATCAGACTTGTGCTCTAGACCCTTCACCAGCTTCGTTGCCCTTCTTTGGACACGTTCCAGCACCTCAATGTCCTTCTTGTAGTGAAGGGCCCAAAACTGAACACAGTACTCGAGGTGCGGCCTCACCAGTGCCGAGTACAGGGGCACTATCACCTCCCTGGTCCTGCTGGCCACACTATTCTTGATACAAGCCAGGATGCCATTGGCCCTCTTGGCCACCTGGGCACACTGCTCATATTCAGCTGGCTGTCGACCAACACCCCCAGGTCCTTTTCTGCCAGGCAGCTCTCCAGCCACTCTTCTCCAAGCCTGTAGCATTGCATGGGGTTGTTGTGACCCAGGCGCAGGACCCAGCACTGAGCCTTGTTGAATCTCATACAGTTGGCCTCAGCCCATCGGTCCAGCCTGTCCAGGTCCCTCTGTAGAGCCTTCCTACCCTCCGGCAGATCAACACTCCCAACCCAACTTGGTGTCATCTGCAAACTTACTGAGGCTGCACTCGATCCCCTCATCCAGATGATTGGCAAAGATATTGAACAGGACTGGCCCCAGTACTGAGCCCTGGGGAACACCACTTGTGACCCGCCACCAACTGGATTTAACTCCATTCACTACAACTCTTTGGGCCTGGCCGTCCAGCCAATTTTTTACCCAGTGAAGAGTACGCCCGTCCAAGCCATGAGTAGCCAGGTTCTCCAGAAGAATGCTGTGGAAGCGGTGTCAAAGGCTTTACTGAAGTCCAGGTAGACAATATCCACAGCCTTTCCCTCATCCACTAAGCAGGTCACCTTGTCATGGAAGGAGACCAGGTTAGTCAAGTAGGACCTGCCTTTCATAAACCCGTGCTGACTGGGCCCAATCCCCTGGTTGTCCTGTACGTGCCGTGTGATGGTACTCAGGATGATCTGCTCCATAACCTTCCCTAGCACCGAGGTCAGGCTGACCGGCCTGTAGTTCCCCAGATCCACCTTCTGGCCCTTCTTGTAGATGGGCATCACATTTGCTAACCTCTTTTATATATAAGAACTCTCATTAAATACACTTGACAAGGGGAAAAAGTTTGATCGTGTAAAACTGCAGGACAAGATTTCATGGATGTGTCTTCTGCCCTTGCATCAGGATTTCTATGCCAACAACAACAAAAATTCTGTTTTGTGATAATGAGATTTGAGTGTTTGCTTTTATTCTGATGTTGTTCAGATTACAAAGATTAAAAAAAAAAAAAAAGGAAATCACTCCAGAAAATGCAATATCCTAGGACAAAGGATACGCAAACTTAAGTCCAAGCTTAGAAACAAAATTTCCTGGAGAATTTATTCTAGCACTGTTTATTACAGCAATGCTGGCACATTCCTTTGAAGAATCTCGTAACTAGCTGTCATCAGACCCAGAACACTAAGCTAGACTACAATTTTGATTTAATAGGGCAGAAACTATGTTCCTAACAGAAAAACAACACGAAATGACAAAAATAAACCAACTGAGCAGCTCAATACCACACATGTACTAAGCTGTATTTGCAACCTTTCCTAAATTTTTAAAAGTAACTCTCTTCAGACTTTTAGGTTTCTTTTGGTGAAGGACATGTACCAATTTTTATAACACAGATATAATATATAAAATTTATACGGAAAACAAAGTTGAGAAAGATTAGACTTTAGCAAACATGACTAGAAAAATGTTGAACTAGAACAACATACACAAGAGACGAGCATAGAGCCTTAAAGACAGCATTATTATTTATAAAAACCCACCAGCATGCATTTACTGCATTTAAACACACTGGTAGTTAGTTCAGTCTAGCAATGGAAAGTAATTAAGACTGAAGTCCAAAAAAGTATCTAAAAGTCTTCTGTGAAGGAACAGTTATAACATCTATCTGAAGTTAATCAAAGAAGAAATCATCTCAGCACTGATGAAGAGTGAGGAGGAATGAATGATTCAGTGAACTAATGTAAATCAAAATCTTATAGCTGCTTTAGTGTTTTTTCAAATGGAAATGAGGCTTTTTATATCAAATTGATTAGAATTCCAGAGGCAAACTGCTTGCCCTGTTTCTCTGAAAAAAAAATGACTGAAATGTATGAAAAAAAGAGTAACTTTACAACAGAGAAGGAAATCGGAAACTGGCCTGCATGCATAGGAAATCACAATAAAATTCCAATCATTTATATCATACTTTTCCAAATGAAGTATCACTGAAAGTCAGGTCCAAACATCAACATTACCACTGCAGTTCACAGGAGCTACAATGAATCCTGCGTCCTTGAAATAAGGCAATAATGAATAACTGGTATTTTCAAGGATTATAAGCATTCATTTTGCCTTGACACATACAGTTTATTTAAGTAGTTAGAAATACTACATAACTCACAAGTCAGTAAGGAAAGAACCATTTATAAGATTATCTGTTTTGAAACTTGGTAAATATAATTTGTTACTGTTGTCATTGCCTAAAACACTAAAAACACCTTCTTTCAAATGAACCACTACAATCAACTTAATCCAGACTACTATGCCATTACTGCATAGTTAAGTCAAAGATATGCTAGAAACTAAAATATATGTTAAAAATTACTTATCTTTGGAATTTGTTCTATGGTTTAATAAAATGAGATTTTCCCCACAGTAGTCCCTTTGAATGACTCAGGCACATAAAATCTATTCTACTGCTACAAATCCCATTAACAGCAGTAGCCATTCTGCTTAGAATTTGTAAGCACTACAGTCAAAATTAAATCCCCTTGGATTAGTAAAATTCAGTTATACATGAGACTAGAATTGAGAAGGTTGCTGTGATGAGACTGAAAATAAAGACAGACAAGAAGTCTGACAAAATTAATGACTTGGTATATTAACCTCATGTACTCTACTACATCAGATATATAAGGCTCTTTTCCCCATTACCAAACCTGAATATTCTCAAAACTTCAATATTCTGTAACTGTGTCACATGTTTTACATTCCCAAACTACAAGTGCTCCCTTCCAGCCACCATTGAATTTAAACACTTCTGGTATGACAAATGTTGAGAAAAATAAATTCTTAGAGCATGGAAAAGAATCTTCTTTTCATGTGAAAAATATTCAATAATTTCCTTGGCCACTTTCCCAGTTTATCTGAATAGGACTTCTGCCCTCCAGATATTCACATACAACGTACTTCTTACTTTTACCTAAGAGAAAACGTTCCTGGACAAGAACATCTTGTAATTTTTGTAAGGATTTCTTTTGTAGTCTTACAAGAAAATATTGCATCATTGCAGCAGTTAAATGTTCAAAAATAAATTAAGTGGTAAAAATAAAATTGCATCTCTTCAGTTGACAAGGGACTATTTTAGGCCTAATCCTTCACTTATACACACACAGAGGTGCCCTATTATGTACAGCCCCAATGAATGCTCCTGTATGAATGCTGACAATGTACATAAAGGACAGAAGAAATATAGCTGATAGAAGCACTTTAGTTTGTACAGGAGACATGAGGAGAGACGGCATCCAGGAAATTAGTTGTTAAGGTCACAACAATCAAATCCCAAATCAAATTCACAACTGCATCAAAGCAACACAGGTTCAGTCTCAAGGTTTCATACCAGAATTTAAGCTTCTATACTCATAATAAAGGTCCTATTCAGAAGGAAAAAAAAAAAAAACAAAAACAAAAACAACAAAAAAACCCAAAAAACACCCAATTAACTTTAAGCACAAACTTAAAACCAACCCAATTGAGAATGAGGTACAAGCCTATGTTTAAATCAATCATATGTATAAATGTTACTGAAGTCAGCCTTAAGAGGCTCTTCAAATGCTTTAATGAATGATCATGACAGAGCATAAAAAATACGTTTCATTCGGTTCTTCTGTGTAGTACCTAACAACAGAAATTACATGTGATCATGAAGTTAATAATATTTCAGTTTTCTTAAATATCTCCAGATACCCTTAATTGCTGAGATTTTTTTTTTTTTTTTTAGTGAGGACACATTTCAAGGATTTTAACTTTGATCTATAGATTTTATGTATATTTTTAGAAGGAAGAATAAGGTTAATAAGATCCAAAGTTATCTGTACTCAATAAAGATAGGGCTATAATGCACCCTTACGTGACCTTTACCTGTTTCTACATCTGTTAAATGCAACATGGAATCAAAGCCCCCACTGAGGATCCTTCTTCCACAAGGTGACCACCGGGCAGCTCGAACAGCACAAGAGTGACAGGAATATGTTTTTAAACAGCAGCCTGTATCTACAGCATCCCATACCTTAAAAAGAAGGATAAGGAAAACTTTATAAAAAGAGTGACAATATTTTTTCCAATGTATTGAAAAGTAGCTACAGCAAATCATCGTGGCTGAGAAAGCTTTGCATTCTGAAGTTGTATCTGCTAAGCTGTAAAAGTCTGTTTGAAATAATTGCACGGTCGATTAGAATTAGGGCATTTAATTAACAAGGCACAAATCAGTAATACATTTTTACGACTTGTGTTATTTCTTGAAACGTCTACATTGCTCTTAATGGCAATTCATGTTATACTTTCCCATTCATAATGCTGTCCACTGTGCAGGGATGTATCCAAATACATTTTCCCTTTAAATAATTTTTCTTCCAATTTTTTGTCTGTATCATATCTTGCTTTCCATTGAGTAAAAGGAATCCTAGCAGATTACAGCTTTCACATCTGCCTATAAACTATTATCATATTTCTCACTCAGTTTGTCATTTTAAGTAGAATTTTACCTTAACTTCACTGAGGAGGCAGATAAGAATATCATCATGCATCTACATAAAGATTTCTAAGGACTGGTCTAAGTCCTCTCATTTTTCAGTTTCTTCTGGACAGAATTAGGTTGATGCTGAGCACTTCTGAAAATCCTCTTCTACTAGTCATCCAATTTTTTTTTAAGTATATAACAGCTAATATTTTGGGAACATAAATAGTCCTGCTCATTTTTTAAAATAATTTTTAAAGAGAAAGGCAGTTGTTTCCAAGTAACATATTTTAGAAAATAGAACTAGTCTGAATTATAATTTCAGTTACCAAATATAGTTCACAATAATCAAAACCATGTCCTTTTCATGGTGCTCTTTTTGTCATAGTTTTAAGATAAATTAGAAGTTTAGCAACAAATCACCCATATAAAGATCCAGTATGCTCGCTTCTATGAGAGAAGGCTAAATATCAAAACTATTTTCCCTATGAATATTCTGCTTCAGGTGAAGATAGATTATAAAACATCCTACAATTGTACGATACAATGTAATACCTGTTGAGTTGTCTAATAAAATGGATACCAAATGCTATAACCATACCAGTAAATCCTACATTTTATTACTTCTAATATTAGTAGTACAAATAAATCAACACTTTGACAGTGCTTCATGATAGTTTTATTGCAGTTTCAGTAAACCCAAGGCAGTTTATTGCTTTAAAGTCACCATTTTACTTCATGGTACTTCTCTTTGCCATTATTTTCATCCTGCAAAAACTTGCAGGATGAAAACAACACTGCTTATGAGCTTAGAAGGTTATTCTGAATTTTGTCTATTTTAACCACTGAAGTTAGTACCAAAATAAAATCGACTGCACGTTTGTGCATTTTAAAGGATGTTAAAAACAAAAACAACTCAGTAAATCAGAAAATATAAGTAGATGTTTGCTTTCTTGTGGCAACAGCACAATTCACAATACAGGAGAATATAAAGGGGGAGAAAAAAGCAAGGCTTTTGGTAATGTATTTTTATCTTCAATTATATTTTCTTCTTACTGGACAAAAAGGACTCGCTGACAATATCATTATTACATAGTCCATACTCAGAAGACAACATTCCATTATAGAAAATTATTTCATCAAAGTATCAAAGCACAGAGCACAGTTCTGCAATGCAAAGCAACCAATTATCATTAATAACTTGAATAGTCAGTTAAGACTGGAACCGTGATGGCCATACCCTAAGTATTCTACCCTATCCACAAGAAAAGAAATCAGGAAAATTTTAATATTGAACTGCTTTTGAAAGTAAGTTTCTCTGCTTTAATGAGTTTTAATGATCATTTCAAGCTTCACAGTATTAGAAAAGGGTTAATTGTGTCTTGGAGGGCTTTTAATATGAGGAAGCTAATGAATGAATCAAGATGAAAGGAAAAACAGGTGGTACATGGTTCAGATATTTTTCTGTCATGTTTTAGTGATTAAGTATGAAAACTCAATTTTCACAAGAAGGATGAAGTAAAGCAAGTTCAACAGCACTTCTGAGCTCCCACTTGATTAAAAAAAAAGTTGTATAAATGGAAAAAGCACACCACTAAAGCTGCACATTTCCCTCCATTATGTGAAATGGAACAAACGATTGACTCCTGTGGATGAAACCACTGCCCGTGCACACGGGACAAGTTACCGAATACCACATTTCTCTCCGCTGTTACGCTTTACATCAGCTCTTTTTGCTCAGGTAACAGTGGTGCTGCAATGCCTTCTGGAATTGGAGCCGCGTGGGCAAGGCAGTCTTGACTGAGGAAATTCACTTAGTTTATTGCCAATTAACGTAAACTTTTAATTACAGATTCAAGTATTGAGGAAAAAAGACTAAATGAGCACTTAAGGAGCACCTTCCCTCCCCAGGCCCCACTTCAGTCCAGCACCTCTCCTCCCCTATTCCTACCCCAGCTTCCCCTGTTTTCACCAGGCATTAAGCTCAGTCCCTTCAACGTCCCTTTGGCGAGACAGTGGCTGTCACAGGAGGCTGGGGTCAGGGCCTAGAGATTTCTTGTTGTCTCTCTTTGCATCTTACTCTTTTCGTCCCCTGCTCTTTGCTTCTTACTGCTTCTCTGCTCCTTCTCTCCAGATGTACATCCCTTCCCCTATCTCCTCCCATCGCCTTCTGTGTGTCCTCACACACACCCTCATGTTTCCTTGTGTCCTCTGCCCTCAGCAGCTGCTCCTTTTCTTCAATATGCGTGAACAGAGGCACCACATGCTCCTCTGAAGTTCTGGCCCACAGTGAGTTGTTTTCATCCATTTCAGAGCAAGCTGAAACCAGCTGTAGCAGCACCGGGCCACTCACAACCTCCTCCCACACAGGGGAACCTTGCAGCTCCTGCTACCAAACCCCACAGTTTATGCCCAATACAAGCAGTCAGTTCAGACAGAAAGTTAGGACAGATCTCCATCGAGATACGGTCCAACGCAAATTCACTGGAGCCCACAAATGTGCTTTTAAATAATGCTGAGAGGTGCCACTTCTGCTGTGGCTTCACAGCTTAAATGGACAGAGAAGTCAAACAAGGCAGCAGAACAGCATAGCAGACCCTGTCCTGCTGTGCAGTGGCAATGCTCTGCAATCTTCATCTGGGTACATTCAATCCTACGTGTGGTTGCATATGACCCACCCGGTATTTTCCTTGAAGTCTCACATTTGCTGAATTTAGCTCAGTGTAACTTTGATACATTAGTGTGTGCCCTGCTGCAAGGAGGACACTGTGAAGTGCATCCCCAATTCAGAGGGGGGAACAATTTCAGAGTTTTAAGTTTCAATATTCATCTTCTACAGGAAAAGGGAAGCTCTACTTGCTATTTGCAAGAAGTAGTATTTGATATTTACAGTTAGCTCTTCAGCAATCACTTAAGACATGCAGCCATGCCCATAGAAAGTCATATAAAGGTGAGCCGTTGCATATCAAGGAACAGAAATGGGTGTGCAGAACCCAAAACAAGGCAATTAAAGGATCTCCTGTACAAATAAGAAATTATGAAAAGGTGGGAGCTGTGAATGCTCAGCTGTAACAGAGTGTGTCTGTCCCAAGTTACAAACACTGTTTTGTCTCTAGAAGTGACAGCGATGTTAACCGTGTTACGCCCATAAATAGAGAATCTACTGTATTTCATTACCAAGGAAAGACGCTTCAAATCCCATCAAAGGATCATCACAAAGCCACCATCAAGTCTGCATTTTCTTAGAGAGTCTCTTAAGTAGTTTCCCATTCCTGTGGTATGGTATTTCTACTGCTTAATCGTAATAAGGGGAAAACATGGCTAGAGGGAGAGTTCCAACACACTCCATCCAAAGCTTCAGATGTATATCTACTCAGTAGCTGGTGCTCACTCTGTATAGGCAGCCGCGGTCACTAAAAAAAAGGAGGAAGGGGATTGCAAAGGGATGAGCCCTTTGCATGTGAGTTTGCCTCTCTCTGCCAAACACTCAGATGCCAGATTAACAGATTCTCCAGGATGAAAGGCATTTCAGGGTTTTTCTTTGAACTGAGATAGTCAAGTGCTTCAAGAATAACTTGTGTGGAAATTTTTTTTTTCTACTCTTTCTTTCTTCACTTTTTCCATATGCTGGATATGCTGGCTCAAACCAGGACGGAACAATAAGCCTGAAAGACCGCATGGGTGTAACCAGCAGAGTCGATGAAATAAGCTACATCCCCAAAGAGCATCCAACATGACGCCTGAACCCAGAAGCATGTTCTCTAAATTACCAAGGTAAATAATAAACAAAAAGACACTAATCAACTAGTTTAGAGCATGGCAATTCTGCAAAGAATATAGAACTAGGTTACAATATAGCCACCGGACTTCAGCCTCAAAAGAAAATTTTTTCAGGGCCTGGTACAAACCAGGGGGCAGAAGAGTCCCCTATGAATTGGGACCATTAAAACCTTCCTATTTCAAGTGAGTGAAGTTGTTGAACATAACTTCTCTGCCAAAAAGTAACATGAATTACAGACACTTACAGAAGAGGATGCCAAACTCATTCTTCTGAATGGCATCTACATATGACCTCAGAAAAAGGATTTGTATCCAAGAACAGCCTAAGGCTGAAGGCAAAGGCAGCAACACTATAATTTTAAAAGTGACGGTTGTAACAACTACAGCTTTAATTTCAAGTAAGTGTTTTTAAGAAATTAAGTGTCTTAGAACTATTTAGAAAGTTGTATTTTAAATACTAAAGGCTGCTAACTTTAAGCATGCCTAATAATAAATACCTTTAAAATAAAGGGTTATAAAATGAACTCGTAGATGTACGTGGAATAAAGGCTTACCTATTTAGTACCTAATAAATTACTCAGGCAGGGGGAACAGTTCAATAAAAAACACACAGGCTGAGATATACATCTTCCTTCATAGGCATTTAAACAAATGTATCAAGTATTATAGGACTAGACACTATCATGCATCTGTCTGAAAGGAGGACAGATTTATATTCAATTATTTTTACCAAGAGATCAACTGTTTTAAGTGTTGTTGCTTGACTTCAAAAC